TAATATTACATTGTTGGCTTATATTACTTATAATGTTATAATGATAAAAATAATATGACATATATATCGCGCAAATCAGTAAAACAATCATTGCTCTATGCGCATTGCATAATATTCATGAAAAACATGCATACGCACATACATGCACATAATAATATATGCACAAAAAAATAAAAGGTGTTACGACAAGGTGGGATCAGGCGCTCTTTTGTTTTGAGGCATACAAAGCTATTGATATCATCTTAAAGCCTATCCATTTGTCTTCCTTTTGATGAAAACGATATTCATCTATGCTGAATAGAAGTCGAACTATTAGTGATTGAAGGAGGTGGGGTCACCTGATTTCAGAGGTAAATTTAGTGAGAAAACGGATGCCAAAGTTTGATAACTTCAATAGCTTGAGAGCTTTTAAAACTAAAAAATCACAAATTTTGTACATGTAATGAATGTTTTTCAGTATGGACGTAAAAGTTGTTTAGCGTGAAAAAAAATTCAATAAAAGTTTCCAAACCTGTGGAAAAATGCCAGTTTTTTTCACTTTCATTATTTTGACGAGCGCCTGATTTCATCACACTGCCTCACAATTAGAGTAAATCATTCAAGGAAAATATTGCATACACGCACTCTTTCTTACTAATAAGGAAAATATTGAGACTCATGTCAATGACCAAAGCGCTTTAATTTTTTTTTAAAATCCGTACAGGATCGGTTAGCTCCTTTTTTCTCAAGCTATCAACTAACAAACTCGTGATGATATCAATAGCTTTGTATGCCTCAAAACACACGAGCGCCTGATCCCACCTTGTCGTAACACCTTTTATTTTTTTTTACATATATTATTATGTGCCTGTATGTGTGTATGCATGTTTTTCATGAATATTATGCAATGCGCATAGAGCAATGCTTGTTTTACTGATTTGCGCGATATAAATGTCATATTATTTTTATCATTATAACATTATAAGCCAACATGTAAAAGTGAAATTCTGATAAAGTCAGCACCCGGGACAGAAAAAAAGTGTTGACTTTGAGCAAGGTTGATTTATCCATTGTACTAGCGGGGTACTGGCCATTGAAAATTGAAGATGACAGCTACAAAATTACAAAGTACTTGGTAATAAACAAGATGCAATCTCAATAATCTCAATTTCTCATAGCATAATTCTGAAGTTGTCACCAAAACAAGAGATAATGAAAGAACAAAGTACACATGTAATTGGAGGTGTGCACACCACTTGCTCAGGTGAAATATCTCTTCTTGAATGAATTCATCTTATGATTTAGCCCCAAATTGTTGACTTTACGCAAGGTTAACACTCAAGCGATTGACTGTACATGTATCAGAAACACAATTACTTAAACAAAGAAGGTAAGAAACAGGACTACAGTGAGGTGTTGACTGTAAGCAAGAGTTGACTTTAAGCAAGTTGACTTTATCAGGATTCCACTGTATCTGTTATTACTGATCATTTATGCTGAAAAAAAAAGTGAAATCAGTTATCATCAACAAATGCAAAGTTCATCATTATGTCAAAAATATTTTTCACCTCACAAAAGTGTAATATTACATTAGTTCAAGACCCCCCCCCC